GCCATCGCTAGTAGGTTGGAGTGCATCGCTAGTAGGTTGGAGGCCATTGCTAGTAGGTTGGAGCGCATCGCTAGTAGGTTGGACGCCATCGCGAGTAGGTTGCCATCGTTAGTAGGTTGGAGGCCATCGCTAGTAGGCTGGAGGCCATCGCTAGTAGGTTGGAGGCCATCGCTATAGGTTGAGGCCATTGCTATTATATAGGTTGGAGGCCACTTGACTTTGTTCTACTTCGTCCAGCGATCTTCTAAGGCCCAGTGGCATCTTCGTGTAGCACGTCCACAGCATGTGCCACCTCTTTCGCATTCACGCGGTTTCACGCGGTTTCGCATTCAGGGTCTTTGATGTCAAAATCAGCACGCAAATGGCAGTCAGGTTTACTCCCAAAGTTCACGAGTGTGAGATGTTTGGTTAATGACTGAGTGACCATACTCCTTTGGAGAGTATCCCTAGTGTCCATGATGAGATGATGTGATTTCATCCAATTGGATATCTTTCATAACTATATATTCAGATCCCCCTTGGAATTACCGGTAGGTCTGGGGAGAGCGATTTTATAGCCATAAATCGCCTGCCCCAACATCCAGCAAGCAATCTCTCCACTATAAAATGAAGACTCGACATGAATCAGTAAATCTCTATAAAAGCAAATCTCAACATCTAAGGCGCCCGAAAGCAAAGGAAGACGTAAAATATGATCTAGGTTTGAGGTAGTTTTACCTTTATTTTGCCCAGGTCGGAATTGATGTTATAGTGAGTTGTTTGGGTTCAACTGGGCTGAGACTTGAATTTATAGGGATTTGGTTTGCAAAATCTGACAGCATCAGCGATGAGCAGGTTTTTTCCCCTGTGCGTTCGTCTGATTGTTCTGATGTCCAAAGCAATCCGCTTGTGTTGTTAACTTCAGTCTTTTTTCCAAAAGGAATCTGAACATTTCTGACCCATTTCTTGCTAATTTTGATTGAATATAATGAAACCTTCTCGGATTTGTTGAAAGCATCTTTTCAACCATTGAAAGCATCTTGCAGGCAGGCCGGGCGTATAAACTCAAAAATACAACATATTATGCATGCAACTGACTTCCAACATCTGCCACAATAAAATGAAGTCTCAGCTTTCTTGTCCACAACTCTCTTCATATAAGATCAAGAACCAACTTCTAATCATTGTAAGGCTTGGTCTGCTATAAAATCGGGGCTCATACCACCTCACTCCTATAAAATCAAATGTCAAAACATCCAGACCTCGCCTCTATCTATGTGCGGCCCACATAATTCTGGCCACAAGCTACCAGGTCGACACATCATTTTATAGCAAGCCCTCCCTATAAAATGACATGGGGTTTTGGTACTCGAGTACGTCCATTTTATAGGCTTTATTCTATCGGGGATATATTCAGAATATTCATAACTCTCAACCAAACCACCCCAAGCACTTTCCGCCTACCTCCACCTACCTCCCAAGAAATCACGGCCGTTGTTCACACGCCCCAGTGGTCTCCGGGCGGGGCCCTGGGGATGATCGTCCCCCGCCTTCACTTGCCAATCGTCCATGCCCGGTGGATGATCCATGGGCTTCACCTGATCTACCGCGTCCACCGCCCAGCTCGCCAGTGGCGGCCGGAGGGGCCGGTAAGCGCCCGACAGGAAACACAGCCCCGTCCGCCAGAGCCTCAGGGGGGTCGTTCCACATGTCGTTCGGGCGAAAATAGTGATTCTCAAACAAAGAAACACCAGCAGGGTGCGATTCTCAGGCGGAAGTGTGAGGGTCTCGAAGTGTGATTCATTGGAGGAAAAGGGACATCTTGTTTTGTTATGTTTTGTTGGGGGGGTCGGACATGGAAATGATGGAAGATGAATATGAAGTGCTTCCATGCTTTCCAAATCCTCTTTGAAGAAGACCTCTTCAAATGATTTGGTGTTCCTTCTCTGGCCAAGTCGTCATTGAACGATCATTCTACCGGAACTGCTGACGCCATGAAAGCCATCGAACTGCTGCACCAGGTTGACCCCATGGCCAAGTCACAGAATGAGGGCCAAGCCAGGCCTGGAGCAGCAGCTTGCTCTAAAAATCCAGATGACTCCCGAGCCAGAGATCCCGGACCCTGCAACAGTTTGGTCTGACTCCCGGACGCCCGTTGTGTGTCTAAATCCGCCCACTACTGCAGTGCTGTCCCCGCACTTGAGACACCTGCACATTGCCTGTGACACTCAGTACGGGTGAGAGCTTCGCAGTGCCAAAAAGCTTCCCCCGTGCTTGGATCCTGTTTCACCGTGTGAAAACGGACAGGCTTCAACGTGCTTCACCGTGATGAACTCATTGGATTCAGAATCGTCCCATGTGGCGGGTCTGTCGTCTGTTCTGTGGGGGCCTTCTCAAGCACCCCGAAATTCAGTTGGACACAATTCCGATTCAAAAAATATTCCAAGTGGATCACCATCCATGAAGCAACTGAGCATCCCAGTCCTATTAACACCAACCCAGTCATCTCCGCTGTTGCACTCTTCGTTCCCACACCTCAAGATCTGCCAGGCTCTCCAGCGGCCATGAACCTCGCGACTGCACGATGCCCACGACGCAAACGCAGCGGAGCGCGGGGACGGAGCGCGGGGACGCGCCTCGGGGCGCGCGGCCATCTCGGCGAGGCGGAGCTTTCTCCGCGGAGCTTTCCGGGTGGCGACTGGAGCCAGGTTTGGACAGGTGGCGACAGGGCGCTCACTTCGCATGAAGGAGCCTTCTTAAAGTACGCAAGACGACTCGAAGTCATGTAATTTCTCGAAAATCTATGGACTACTTGAGAGTTAGTTGACAAACAGGTCGACCGGTGCTAGTCTGTGGCAGCTGAGAGGCGGAACTGAGCTGATTCTTCGATCCCGGAACCCTCCGGCGTTCGGCGGTCGAGTCCCGCACGAAGCCCGGCCAAGCAGCTTCCCAGGGCCTGGATCGCTGTGCTGAAGTGCTGGCAGAGCCGCGGTTTAGGAGGTGAAACGAGGAGTTCATGAGAGAAGTGCGTGGCTTGATCTCCAGCTTTGGGATTCAGTACGTCGCAGTCGTCGGGCTATGCAATTTGAAATCGTTTGGTCCATCAAGACTCGAATGGCCTTTGCTTTTCTTGGACCTCTGCAAGGCCCCGAAGCAGTGCAATTGGCAATAGCAGGATTTAAAAGGTTGCGAAAATATTTCTGGATCTTTTTTGTTTTTCGTGTTTCGTGGCAGGTGCAGTACTTTGTGGACCTTGCAAAGCACATTTCGTGGCAGGTGCAGGACTTTGTGGGCCTT